GCCGGTCCGCCCTGCGGATTCTGGGGGGCCTTTGCGGCAACATCGGCGAACTCGGCGCGAGTCTGTTCGTCGACCTGAGGGGTTGGAGCCGTAGGCTCACCCGCTATTCACTATAAGCTTCTGCGACATCTGAGAATGAGTCATGAAACTCACTGGGGGTTTGGGAGGCAGAGTTTTGAGCCATCCTGGAGAATGCACGATATTGAGGAGTAAATCTCCAAGGCGCCGATCGCGCCACGAATCGCCGGATAAGTATCTTGAGAGATGGAGAGGTATAAGGAGGGGAGGTTGTGCGAAATGCGGGCAATTAAATTTCCAACGCTGAATGAACGAATGAGAGCGCGGGGCTTGGTGGGAGGTTCGGTGGAGTCGGCGGGCAGGTCAATGAAGCGTGTTTATATGAGTCAACACTCATTGGGTATTATTGGGTATCTTACGTTCCTTTCTTCGCGTGTTCTTTGTTACAATTCGTCTTTTCTTGTATTTGTTCGGCCAGGACGACATTGCGATAATCCTCACGTGATACGCTGGAGCCAACGGGTGATCTGAGGCTACATCTATAAGAACCGGATTGGAAGAGGAAGATTGGGATTATTTACTGAATTGGAGGTTATTCATACTTGATATCTGTTTCATGGTCTGAGTCTAGATAGTTATACCATGTCATTCTATACATGGGTCGAGCCATATTATACGCGTGATACATAGAACCCTACCTACGATGTTCAATCCATACAAATTGCAATTCTAGGGTCTCTTGAAACTTCTTTTTTATCTCGTCTAATGTTTCATTCATAAAAAGGGAAACATTAAGAAAATGCAATGGGTTGTCTTAGGAAAAAGCATCCCTTGAAACACGAAGCACCCAAAACAAAGGCCAAAACACCAATTTAACTAACAAGGGAGAAATCAATTAGGGAGACCCACGAGCGCTATACAAATAGGAAAAGATGAAAAAGAAGAGCGATTGCCCCATCTAAGACGTTGGTTTATCACGCTCATTGACACGCCAAACGACCTAGGCGATAAGAGGCTTGGAGGGAACCAGCAAATTAAATGTCATGATGTCTTGTCATCAAAGTCGTCTTCATTCAGGATTTGATCGTTTGCCGCAGTCCATCATCGAACGGCCAGTGAGAAGAGGAACAGGAAGTACGAAGATCAAGCCATTTCATGTTTTCGATCATCGTTGTGCCGTTCATATCAGCAAATTTCAAATGTAAGAGGTACGTAATTATTGTGATGCCCGACAAAATCTTGATGGCAGCATGCGGAGAACTTGGAAGCCGGGCATCGCAGTAAAAGGATCAGAACCATGATCATGAACAGTTCATGCGAGAGGAATTCAGGGGAGTGTCACATTGTTGTGGCTAAGGGCAGCTGCATCAGCACGCACAGGATCAAAGTATGCGTGTGCCATTGCCTCTTGAGCAGTCAAGCGGTCCTTTGAGAAGTCAGCATAGAACATTTATAGAGATGTTAATCACAACGTACAGCATGATCGTAGCGCAGAAGCTTGTCAAGGAAGTCAATGGCCTCGTCACTGATGAAACGCTGGTTCTCTGCGTTGACAAATGAGTGCCATGGCTTCCGAGGGAAACGGGAGAGGATGTCGTCGTATTGCGGGTCCAGTTCAATGTCGTACTTGTCCAAGTACTCAAACAGCTCTTCAGTACCAAGGACCTTGGCAATCTTGACCAACTGGTCCGTATTGCTGCCTCCGTGGAAGAAAGGCTCCTTACGGAAGATCATGGATGCGAACATAGCCCCTAGGGACCACATATCCAAAGAATAGTCGTATTCCTGGAAATCAACTAGCAGCTCGGGGCCCTTGAAATACCGAGACGCAACACGGACGTTATATTCCGTGCCCTTGTGGTAGAACTCAGCCAGACCCCAATCAATCAGACGAAGCTATAACATGTTAGATCCATGATTTCCGCCACAACTATTTGATAAGCCCACTAACCTTGCGCTTCTCATGATCAATCATGACATTGTGGGGCTTCACATCCCGATGCATAATGCCCTTGCTGTGGCAGAAGTCTAACGCCTTAAGCAGCTCGAAAACGTAGAAGCGAACATCGTAATCGGAAAAGCGAGGGTACAGTGTGCGGAAGTCGGTGTTGTTGATAGCTTCGAACACTAGACTAGGAGTCTTGCTCTGGTTATCGCGAACAACGTCCAGCAATGCCACGACATTGGGCCCACCCGCGAGATTCTGCAAAATCTTGATCTCACGTTTGATCTTCTTCTTCTTGACGGGCTTGAGGACCTTGATAACGCATTTTTGGTAGTTGACGACGTTGATACCCTCGAAAACCTCGGAGTACTTTCCCCGACCTAAAGTAGAAAGTCAGAAAGCTTGTTCTCAAATTTCACCCGCAGCTCACAGCGGCAACCATCTCCGACATGCTGCAGAAGGACAGGTTTCATCATCTCTCACCTATCTTGCGAACGATTTCATAATTTTCAAGGACACCCCAAGAGATGTTGACACTATCATAATCCCAGTAGGACCGAGGCATATGCTCGTTGACATCGGCATAGACACGCGCCATCTTGACGATGACAGGCGGTTTCCGAGTGCGGCCACAATTGAAAGATGTGCGGCGGGGTCACGAGGGGCTCGGCCGTGCGACGGAGGAAGGGGTCGGGGATTAGGTAGACGTAGGAGACAGGTAGCAACAGGCCCAGCGACTATTCAGCCCAAACACAGTGCTCACAAGAAGCCTTGAGCAATGGGATGGACGAAGTGAGATATTGTCGTGATATGATCAGTAGAACGAGATCGGTTCCGCCTGAGGTCACGGGATCAGAGAGGTTTGTGGGGACCCGACCTAAAGCAGTTAGTGCACTGACGGATCCTCTGTTAATCCGATAGATTTTCTAATTGCCTTTTTGGGACAGTTCGACGTGACCAAGAGCGCTGAGAAGTAAAGCAATAACTTCCACGGGCAGGGCTGACCTTCCTTTAAATTCACCATGTTTTACGACCTGAATGTACCTTACAGCCCCGATGACCCGGAGGTGCCCCATACTCTGAATTTCCTTGCCGAGCGTAAGTCATTCATTCCGCTCTGCGGCACAAGATCCGTAGGTTGGAGCACATGAGGGACTGACCTGACTGTTTAGTTGGTTACACTACCGTAGCCCTATCTCAAACAATCAACGGGAAGCTCCCCCCAAGCCTCGCTCCACCTCCGCTTCCAACAAACGCGCCGAAATCCCTCCAACTGCTGACCCGGTTGAACCTGACTCTGGCCGATCCTGCGCAGAATCAGCGCCTAAACGCGCTGAGTCAAGCGTACGACATCGTTGCTCTCCGTCCCACGAATGAAAAGTCACTTCTGAATGCATGCACCAACTTGGAATGCGACGTGATCTCTGTGGATCTCTCGGTGCGACTCCCATACCACTTCAAATTCAAGATGCTGTCTGCGGCAATCTCACGTGGAGTTCGCATCGAGATCTGCTATGGGCCAGGGATCACGGGGAGTGGACTTGACGCCCGAAGGAACCTCATTGGGAATGCAACATCCTTGATCCGCGCGACACGCGGTCGAGGCATCATTGTGTCTAGCGAAGCAAGACGAGCTTTAGGTCTACGAGCCCCGTGGGACGTGATAAATCTTGCCTGTGTTTGGGGTCTATCACAAGAGCGTGGAAAGGAAGCAGTCTGCGAAGAGTCGCGAAAAGTGACCGCGTTGGCTAAGTTGAAGCGAACCAGTTGGCGAGGCATCGTGGATATCGTCAATGGTGGGGAGAAAGTCAAACCTGAAGGTTTCACGCCAAAGCAAAAGAATAACCCCAAAGCCAAAGAACCTGTGCAGCCAGAAAATGGAGTGGACAATCTCAAGAGGAAGGCTTCTATCAGTTCTGAGCCTGTCGGCGAGGATGCTGACAAGCCTTTGTCCAAAAGAAAAATCAAACGACGAGCCAAGAAAGCAAAATTTGACGCAAAAGGAGAGAATGCTACTTGATTTAAACTTGCTACGGCGTCTTTAAACTTTCCCTGCCATGGAAGTCCGTTCCTCTGTCACCAGAAGGCAGGAATTGATATACTATGGCTTACCATTAGCGAGTATCATAAGTTGTGAGCCAAACTGCTCGAAACACCCCCCTGGTGTTCTAGTTGAGACTTTTTGGAGCAAGCGCTGTGACTCAATCGCTACTCAATACACCACGATGATGTACGCGCCGCTGCAGAGCCAAACAATATGTTACCCAGAGATATTCTCTTGTCTAAAGAGTATTTCTGATGCGGTGTCTTCATCACTGTTACCCTTCACTCCCAAATGTGAAGCTTTGTCATCATCACAATGGTGCCGTTACTACGGTAGCTCTCGGAACTTATTTACATCCTCCACGTATAGCATAGTTGGAATGGGCATATATGAATGGATTTATCATTTGAGTATCCCTTACCAAGCCACCAAGACACATCCTTTTGAATTTTACTAGTCGACTCTTACAAAAACACAGGTGCTAAGCGCTACTGATGATCCAAAGCTTAGGCTTTGGAATTACTGTCATGATCAACTCACGCTAGCATGTAAAAATTGTACCTGAGGTCTATTATTGACCCTGAACTGCCCTTTCCTTCAATAAACATATTTATAGGCGGAGCGCTATACAAAGAGACTAGTTCTTGGGTCTCCTGCTATACAAAGAGTAAAGACCCCCTCCCATGCATTTGGGCAACACTTGTATAGCCTTTTTGCAGAATATTTGGAAAGTCAACATATCTCTGTATGCCTAAAACCAGGTACTTTTGATCACCCTTCATTATATCGTACAGGAATAGAATGTGTCCAACGTGTCTCTGTACTTCACTGTAGATATGCAAATGATCCACAATTGACCCTTTTGATTTTGCTTACGCTTCATTTCCGACAACAACATAAATACGCGTTTATTTTCTCTGTCTCGCTCCCCATTCTCTTCTCTCTGTTGAAGGTTGGCCAAGTTGAATATCCCTCAACATACCTACAGCCGTAATGGCACCGCGCCAAACAAAATCACTGCGTGGCTTGAATTTGAGAAAGTCAACATCGGCTACACCCATGGCTTCGACTCAAGAACAGGAGGACACTAAACCCATATTGACTGCTGTAGTGGCACCTGACTTGCATCCGCCCTATCAGGTTGATCCGGATGGAGATATTATTCTCTTCACACCAAAAACCCCCCTGATTGACATCAGCAAAGGCAATGTGCCGGGAAACTACGCTCGCTTCCAAGTCTCATCGAAGCACCTAGCACTAGCATCGGCTTATTTCAAGCGACTGCTGAAAGATTGTTGGGCTGAAGGGAGTGCTCTTTCAAAGAAGGGATCCGTTGAGATTCCCGTCAACGACTGCAAACCAGATATCCTTCTGGTCCTTTTGAACCTCATCCATGGACGTTCACGACAAGTTCCCCTGAAGCTGACCCTACCACAATTGAGTGATATCGCCGTGGCAACTGATTTTTTTCAATGCAACGAGGTGGTCGAAGTGTTTGCTGGAATCTGGATACAAGCCCTGGAGTCGCTTGTTCCGTCTTCATTTTCACAAGACATGAAAATATGGATGATGATCTCCTGTGTCTTCCGGTCCCACTCTGTGATCTTCCAGAAAACAACAAAAATTGCCATACAGCAAGCAACAGGGCCATTTGACACAAGCAATCTCCCGATTCCAAATTCCATCAAAGGCATGTGAACAAAATAGAACGTTGCATTTATTTGAGATGAGATTTATGTGAAAAATCACTAATCGTGCACTTCTAGACAAAATTGATCAATGTAGACAGAAAGGCATCGAAAAATTCGAATTAATGATCAAAGAACACATTTCAAGACTGCTGAAAGGTCCAGCTCAGTGTTCTGAGAGTTGCGATGCAGCACACCTAGGCCTCACACTCGGTAAATTGATCAGAAGGAAGATATCTTGCTTGATCGATACGGCCCACTTATTTGAGTCTGGTCCGGCTCTATCAGTCACCGTCGATATCCGGGAGTCCAGCCCTGCCATCATCTATACTATGATCAAGCAATGGGAAACGATTAGCGATTGCCATCGCTCGGGTTTATGTTCCAATAAAATGAATCCTTTCGGCGGTGACGGTAAAAGGCGAGCAGATCGAATTTATTGCTCGCTGAATGGACTTACATGGGATGCGAAAGCGAAGACTTGATTCCCTGCAGGGGAATGGAAAGCCAGAAGCGAATATATGATTGTCTAACTAAGGATCATCCAGGCCTTTCATTCCATAGTCTGCCCGTTTTGATCAATCAATACCCGTCATCGGGTTTCTATCCAAAGACGTATTTTCTTGTTCTATCGGAGAGAGAGGTGTCGATACCAAGTCGTTAGCTCATAGATCACTCTTGTAGAAGGATTCGAGGCCCCCGGAAGGTGAAGTTCTCAGTTGTTTACCCCGAGCATGCTTTTCCCTCAAGCTGCTACTGGTTAACTATAACTGCATGTAGGTATGAGTTTGGCAGAGTGTGGAAATGATTATACTTTACACATAAAGTGGCTCGGGGATAGAGCTTCATACGTGCTAGGGGCTTTTTCCAGTCCTAGCAGAGTGAGCGGCAAACTAGCAGCTTGGCTATGCCATCCTTGCTGTATCTGACTCCATTAGGACGCTAAAATCCCACAAGCTTACTTTGGGCACGACTGCATCAAGCATATAACTTGATGTTACATTTATATGCACGTTTAAATGATTCCACCCCAAATCAAATAAGTTGGTGACCCGCATCACTAGCACCACTAGCACCACGCATAATATTAACATTTTAATAACGAATACGGAGGCTAATTGCCCGAGATAGGAAAAAAAGAGGGGAAACACATCAAAGACAACACATAATGTCCATGCTCGGCTAAAACATCATATTCCTTATTCGGTGTTGACCTCCGTTCTCATGGCGTCGAATATCTCGGAAATGTTGCCATCTACCAATTCGCTGGCATACCATGCAAGACGATTAGTGGCTGCATACCCTAGTCACTCTCCCCCTCAATTTTTGTCCTATCACATGTTTGTCGTCCAAAGAAAGGACAAAGACAAAGATAAAAGAAAATAGAAAATAGAGGATAGAGAATAGAAAACCACGTTATATGTTCGTATCAGTCCCAGAGGTCTCCCACTCCAAATATACATGCAATAGTGCGCCATTTCTCCGAATAGGCGTCATAAGAAGAATAAGATTGTCAATTTCGGGCGTGTTCGGAATTTGAATGCATGAGTGGATTCATCGACAATCCTTCAGGCACGAACCAGCTCTTGCACGTATCATTCTCAGACCTATCAAATAGCCGTATTGTTGACATGTTCGTGGAGTTAAAGCTGAGTGGAATTGTTTGCCTACTCAGTTAGACAATGTCAATTGATCCGGGTGGTCGAGGTCCTTGATCCAACCACCCATGTGGTCTGTGTTTCGTTGGAAATTTTCGGCGTCACTATTTGAGTTGTCGGGTCCGTATTAGCACTTTAGTATAGGCGAGATAGCAAATATTTGTCTTACCTCAATGGTTTCTCTGTATATGTATAGGTAGAGCTTGTTGGAGGGGTAGATGAGCTTCCAGCGGCAGCAGTTGAACTGCCTGTATTGGGGGTAGATGGTTGCTGGGGAGAAGATTGATTGGAAGAATTCATTGTTGCGTTTGATATATATTGCACTGGAAATATTTCTTTGCCGCTTAGAATACTCTATCCTAAGTAGAGTCGAAGCACGAGTAGGTTCCTTTGAATATCAGAAGGAGGATAGAATGAGCCGAGCTCTCAGGAGGAATGCTTTATATCTAAGTATTTCCTATAGCATTGACCAAGAGCAAGACAACGAGAATTGAGTCACCGCTGTGTGAGCCTCATGCAGTTCTATATTGCCTATTAGTCCCGGAGCAACGGACCTATAGTAAGCCAATAGCTATTATCGTCGTCATTCCGCGTATATCCCGAAAGATCCTGTTGTCTTTTAGATCTACCTGTAATAACCGGTCAAGTACTCCAGGGTTGCAGAGTACATGATTGTACATCGAAATGCATATAGGGCTCTTACACCGACATTGATAGATCTAATGTATGCATGCATATCATAAGGTGACTCCCATGTACTGTGTATTACCTATGTATGCCTATCTGGGTACGAGAAAATTGTCGTAAAATCCCAAGGGTCCTCTGCACAGACTTCAATGCCACGATGTCTTTTGAATTAGCTCCTTTTATGTGTAGAGACTTTGTTTAATTTTGCAAAAGAAATTGGTGTATTTTATCACGCTTGAACGGGCTCGAGCTAAGTGGCAATACACCATGAAGAGCTTGCGACTTGAACTAACATAAAAAGCAAAAGAATCAAAATAGAATGGTTACAAACAGCCTTTTTATATAGTTCTCCGAGTAGTATTCTCCAAGTTGTATGAAAATGAATCCAAAATATATCCAAAAAACGGTCTCGGCCGCTTATCTTATCACCGGAGGACGCCGCCGACATTAGCTTCATAAACCACATCCAATCCAATTTCCTTTCTTTTTCTCTCTCATGAAGCTGTAGACCTGCACGCTAGCAAGTGGCGAACACGAAGCGATTGACCAACACACATATCCACACACACCTACACCTAAAATCTCACTATGGTGTCGGTCCTCACATCCAACCCGACAGTCACACTCACTCCGGAGCCTCTGACAGAGGAGAATTTCGCACCGTTCGGTACAGCAGTGGTCTCCCCATTACCGAGAGAACTAAATATCGCCCCTGAATCATCATGCCTACCGCCACATAACCCAACCCCGGTACTGGCGAACCAAAACTCCGCTCTCAAATACAGTCCCATCTCCCCGCTCATCGACCGATACACCAATTTATGTCCAAGCGGGCAGCCCTCCGAGGCACGCATGACCATGTTTTGCTGCTTCCCGCGCGTTTTGCGCACTGTCAGCGGCGGCCCCCAGATGCCAGACCGGGAGGTCTTTGACGTGCGGATCCTTGAGCGCCACCCGTTTACTAATCAAACTTTCATCCCGGTCGATTTATCCGCCCATTCCAAGGTCGGGGATGATGAGGAAGAACCGTTGTTTTTGATAGTGGTTGCCCCCACTCTAAAGTGGAGGACTGCTACCGCGGAGAATGAGGCCGGCGAGACGGTCACCATTCGTGACCCGCCGGATCTGAATAATATTAAGGCGTTTGTGGCGCGTGGTGGTCAGGCTGTGACTTATGGTGTTGGCACGTGGCATGCCCCTATGGTAGTTTTGGGTCATAGGAGGATTGATTTCGTTGTTGTGCAGTTTGTTAATGGGGTTGGGGGTGAGGATTGCCAGGAGGTTGCGTTTAAGGAGGGTCTTGTTGTTGATCTTGGTCGCGAGGGTCAACACGGTCGGATTGAGAAGGGTCCGAGGTTGTGGTCACCTAAGCTTTGATGTGTGAATGAACGTCTACGAAACAATCGCAAAATTTGGGTTCCTAGGGTGAAAGCGAAGACTCCGACAGTTGGATTGAAAAAAAAAGATGCGAGTGAGGCATTTGCCAACCTTGCTTTCTGACTTAGTGGGATCTTTAACAGGAGAAGCCGAAAATTGTACATAAATATCTTACATAGTACCTTCAAGTGATACACATTAGCCACAACATTTCGCCTCCAGCACGCTGATGCTAGGGTTCATCCCCATCAGCAACTCGAGATGGTGGAATTTCATCCTTCATTTCCTGGCGGACCCGCATAGCAAGCTCGAGGGTCTCTTTAGGCAAACCAGCCAGTTGGGCAACCTTCAGAGCATGAGACTGGCGATTGACGCCTTTCCGCAGTCGGTGGACGAAAGAGAAGGCACCCGAAGCCGTAGTTTTCACATCCGTGCAGTATCTCGCCAATTTGGCAAAGTCCTCCGTCATATCCGCAAGGGCATGGAAATGAGTAGCAAAAAGCACCCGAGACTGGTTATGATAGTGTAAATGATGTAGGCATGCAAAGCTAACAGCTGTACCGTCTTCGGGCGTTGTGCCTCGGCCCACCTCATCCATAATCACAAATGACTTGGGCGTGGCTTGTTTAAGAATAGTAGCAGTTTCCAACATCTCCACCATGAACGTCGACTGGTCACGGAAGAGGTCATCCGCTGCACCAATTCGGCTGAAGATCTGATCCACGATACCGATCTCGGCATAAGCTGCGGGTACAAAAGATCCGATTTGGGCGAGGATTGTGATTAGGGCGTTTTGTCGCAAGAAGGTACTTTTACCTGCCATATTGGGGCCAGTAATGAGCCAGATCCGCTCAGAATCACCCAAGAAGCAATCATTGCTCACGAACGATCGCCCTTGTTCCTCCAACCCCAGTTTGACCGTGGGATGTCGTCCACCGACAATATTGTGACAGGTACCGTCATTGAGAATCGGCCGTACCATTTGTTGTTCCTGGGCGAGAGTTGCAAATGAACACGCCACGTCCAGCTCATCCATGACTGCTGCGTTTCGGCGGATTTTGACAAGGTTCAGGATCACCTCGCGGCGCAGACGTTCAAAGATCGTTTGCTCCTCTTGACGGATCCGGACCTTGACGTGGTCCATTTTTACTCCTAGCTCTGTCCATGCTGGTAAATAGAATGACCGGGTAGATTTGGTCGATGAGACATTTCGAGTGACCCCCAAGTCTTCTAGGGATTTCTGGGATATCTTTGGCCCTTTAACGTGGCAAATGTGGCCCAACCCTGGGGTCCATTTAAGGCTCAGGGCTGACGAATCAACTGAATCACGGAGACGTTGAGTCAATGAAGTCTTTTCATCGCCCAATCGTTCCAAGTCCCCGTGGAGTGTATTCAAAGTCTTACTAGCGTCACGTCTCATAATCCAGGTATCGATAGGACCGGAGTCCGTATCAGCCATAACTGTTCGCTCGCCCTTCTTTGCTCTGACCTTTTTCGGCAGCGCTTCGAGCTCGCTGGAGGTGGCTTCATCCATAGTGACCTTTTGTGCCAGATTGGCTGCCTCTGCGGCAGTACTATCCTCGATGCGTTGTTTTTGTAACAAGCCTTCTTCGTCAATGGCTGCAAGAATTTGATCCGCCAGCGCAATGGGACCATCGAGAAAAAGCCGTGAAATCATGATAGTAAGACTGTGATTCAGATCTGAAGTATTGGATGAGACCGAAAGTCTATTGTGATCTAGAAGAACTTGTCTGACTTCCTTAGAAGCCTCAATGGCGCGGGAAAGACAAATCAAGTCATCCGGGTCCCCTTTCCCAAATGCGAATTTCTGAACTAGGCGTTGAGAATCATGGCTGCGTTTCAAAAGTTGGATGACGCTGTCACGGAGCTCGACATTTTCTATGAAGACCGAGACAAGGTCCAAACGCTCATTGATGACTCGTAAGGATGTAGATGGGGAGGCTGTATGTAATGCATTAGCAAAGCTATACAAAAGCTTTTGACTCTTAGTTGGGCATACTTAGCCGGTCTCGTAGAAGCCGTGCACCACTTTTTGTAGAAGTCCTTCGCACAGCGTGAAGGAGACTTCCTTTCCCAAAACCGTCTCTGGCTGTTTCTAAAATCTCGAGACCACTCAGACTGTTACGATCAATGCCCATTGATTCATTCAAATGTCTTCGAATTGGAGGCTGAAGCTTGAGATTCGATCCTTGCAACTGCACGCGAATGTACTCAAGCAGGCTGTACCCAGCTGCTACTTCCTCTGGTGTGAAGGAGGCGTGAGTTTCTTCAGGAACGGGAGACTCTAACATTGTCCCCCATTCAGATACCGGTTTGAATTCTCCAGGGTATTGGAAGAAGGTGACAAGGCGATGATCGTGTCCAACGAGCAATTGCAATTCATGTCCAATAAGATCTTGCACATTCTGATCTACCAAAATCTCACGAGCTCCAATCCGTGCAATCGCAGACGGAAGCATTTGACTCGTTGTGAGCTGAGTAAAGAAATCACCAGTTGAGAGGTCAAGCCATGACAATCCTACTTGTTGGGGCACAGAGGCTAGGATATGCTGATACGATGATTGGAGATCCTTGTCAGCGTGCTGCTTCAATTGGATTTTCAAAGACGGCACATCCAAGTATATGGCCAATAAAAAATTATGCTCGGTAGGGTCAATGAATTTCTCGTCAATCAGCGTGCCAGGTGTGATGATCCTAGCAACTTTCCGATCAAAGAGGAGGCCGCTCGTGCGTGCCTTGTCTTCTGCATTAATGGAAAACTCTTCGCTAATAGCCACATACTTGTTGAGATCTCCGACGAGGGTTTTGAGGAAACGATCAAGCTGGAAAAAGGGAAAGCCAGCCATCGGAACCGGCCCGCCGTTGGTCTTTTTGGTCGCGAGCTTGAGATTGAGCAATGGTGCCAGCTCCTCTGCTTGTTCAAAATAGAGCTACAGAACACACTCTCAGCATGGAGCTCTCTAGCCATGTGGTGCCTATTATCGTACCTCATAGAAGCCCCCGACCCGGGTCAAGATAACACAATTCTTGAACGTTTGCATATTGTTTCGGTGCCCCTGCACCACAGTCGGGTAACGAGGAGCCTCATCCACCTGATCATCGTATGCCTCGAGTTTCAAAACTCCTTGAGGAAGGTCTTTCAACTTTACTGTCGCTTTAGTTTTTGCGCCTTGTTTGTGGACTTTCGATGCGGCGGTGTACACGCGTTGGTGTATGGAGGTTCGACGTGCATGGTGACATATGGTCCGGTGAATGTTACAACGATCAGATGAACGTATCAAAGTCGCCAGAGGCCTCATATAAACTGGCATTAAACGACGAGAGAGACCGGCGCGCATTGTTGCGACGCGCCCCCGAACCGTTTCGAGTGGCAGAACCATTCAAGCTCCCCTCTTCCGCCTTCGCCACCGAAATCTTCCCGAGCTGCACTCTCCTTGAGATCTACTAGCTACAACCTTGGCTGATATTTCTCCCTTACAAGTGATATTACTTGCGGCAGGAGGATGAGCCAGGTTTGTGAGACCATTTAAAATTGATCAATCGCCGACATCTCGTGTCTTGGCGCGGCCTGAATCTTGACCCTCCGCAGGCAGGTTCTTGTCGCAACTCACTCTTTCTTTCATCCTTTTTCCCTTGATTCAGCCATACAACCAACAAGATGGCGGACCAAGATATCTCACAGTATAAGTACTCGGCGATGTCCAACCTGGTTCTCCAGGCGGATCGTCGTTTTATCACTCGCACCCATGACGAACCCACTGGAGACCCGGAGTCTCTAGCGGGTCGCATTGGGATTCGGGAGATGGGTGGACGAGTCGCGCGTGAAGACGCGCCCAAATCTAAAAAGGCAGCCCCGACAGGTCTTGAGCGGGGTGCAATCGGCGAGGGTGAAGATGTGCTTCTACGCGAACAGAAAAAGCGCCACCGCGGCCAACCAGCACAACTTCGAGGCCAGGGCATCCTTTCAGCCGCCGATGCCTTCGTCGAAGGATTGAAATATCGTCCCCGCACACCCGCCACACGAGCCACGTATGACCTTATTCTCACAATCACTGGAAGCCAGCTGGGCGATGTTCCGCATGAAGTCGTTCGAAGTGCTGCCGATGCAGTTTTGGAACTACTGAAGGACGAAGATATGAAGGATTTTGATAAAAAGAAGGAGATTGATGATCTTCTGGGTACCTCAATGAACCCCAAGGAGTTCAACGAGCTGGTGAACCTCGGCAAAAAAATTACAGATTACGATGCCCAAGACGAAGAGGAAGAGGTGGAAGGCGGTCTCGAGGAAGAGGGTGGCGAACTTGATGAACGCCAAGGTGTTGCCGTCGTTTTCGATGAAGATGAAGACGATGAGCGCATGGGAACCGTAGACGAGGTTCGAGACGAGGACGAGCTCAGTGACGAAGAAGAGGAGGATGAACAGGAACGACTCGCAATCGACGATGCTGCAGCAGCCCAAGACGAAGACGGAGATGAAATGGTCATCGATGGAGGTCTCGGCCGAAGTGATAAAGCCACAGAAAAGACCGGATTGAACGTCTCCGCTCGCGAAATTGACGCTTACTGGCTGCAACGTCAAATCGGTGCGATATACACAGATGCTCACATTCAACATGAGAAAACAGATGAAGCACTTGAAATCCTCGGTGGGAAGGACGAGGATGGAACATTGAAACCCCTGCGCGATGTTGAGAACGACCTCATGGAACTCTTCGACTATGACCATCCCGATCTTGTCGCCAAACTAGTTACCAATCGTGACAAGGCCGTCTGGGTTACTCGCTGGAGAAGAGTCGCAGAGGATCCTTCTGCGCGCAATCTCGTGGAGATTGAGATGGTCGAAGCCGGTCAACGTGCCATCCTCGATGAAATCCGTGGCAAAGAAACCGGTGACGAACTTGGAGCACCACCAGGTAAGAAGATGAAGTTCGACTTGATGGATGTCGATGTTCCTTCGGGTCCAACTACCGATTACAAAA